TGCCTGTTCTGTTCCCCGCTCTGTCTCTGGTGAGGCCTCTCACCGCCCCTGAGCCTCTGGCCTGTGTACCCCACTTCTGTATGTACAAATAAATAAATCTTTAAAAAAAAAAGATAGTCATAGTATTAAGAGGAATTGAGTTTAAGACTGGACCTCTCTGGTGGTTTCCACATGATAGTAAACTATTACAATATTGCTAACGATTTTAGAAAATATGTAAGTGGTGTGTCCAACATTATTCATGAAATATAACCAGCACATTATTTTAGATAGGTGGTTCACGAGCAGATCTGGTAATATGTAACATATATGTAGGCCGGTTACAGTGGTAAAAAGAGATGGTTAAAGAAGATGAATTTAGTGTTTACTAAATATATGTGAGTTTCATTGTCTTTGATTTTTTTAAACTTGTCTCTAAGAGAGTTTTCTCATTCTTAAACATATGGCAAGAGCATTTAAAATGCATTCCTGATTACTAAGAACACCACATTTATATATGTGAGGAACATTATTTTTTGTTCATTGGAGCAAACTTTTAATGTTAGTTTTTCCTCATGAAAATATATTTGACCAATTCAGACTTTAAGATGGGAATCAGTAATTTCTAGAATAAAAGTGACATGATGAACTCTTGCATTTCTTTGAGCTATCAAATAACTGCTTCATTAAAACAATATTTTTAAGAACACTCTTAGTCTTTGAAGTCAGTATAGTTTTTATGGTATAAGACTTGCAGCAGTGATCTAAAAAAGTTACCCTGACAATGAGATTACTAGTTATTTGCATCAAATATTTATTTCTTAGGCTTGGGACTCAAGTATCAAAATAAGAATTTAGATAAAGAAGGTGTGCTTCTGTATTGCCAAGTTTCTAAACTTCATTTTTTTTTACTTTTCACGTCTCTATATAGCTCTGAAACCAGTGACATAATTTGCATTTTATATTTAATTCTAGGGAGGCGTTTTCTGTTCAGACCGCCGCCAGTTCGAGCGGGCACGGGGACGGGGACACCCCACTCGTTGCTCCTCCGTTATGGGAAGGTGTTTAGCAGACTTTTTCGCCTGGAGTGTAGGATTTACACTTCATTTTTTTCTACTCCCTCTTCCCCAAAGCAAGATGGACTCTATTCCCTTTCTCTTTCTCCCTCTGCCTCTCTCTTGTCAGCCTTTAAGATCGACATTTTGTACTAAGATGCAAACTTGATGGTGACCAGCTACAAAACCTGGGTGGGATCCCTCACTCCCTTCCTCCTTCCGTTTCCTCGCTCCCTCCACCCCAACCTCGGAGACCTGATGGCCCTGCACTTGCCGCCGGGGTCTTTGGCTAATGTGTTTCCCGGCTCGGTTTGGATCTTCAATCTCGAGAATGTGCCTGGGGCCGGGCGTTAGGGCGACGACTGTGGCCGCCCAGGTCTGTTGGGAGGAGGGTTGCACTACCTGGACCCGCTGCCGTTGCCGCTGCCACCTCCGGCCGGCTGCTGGGCACTGTGGAGGCTCCGGCAGCCTATCGATTGCGATGATTTGGTTACGGGTGTATTTGTACAGGGGGTGGCGATCACTTGTGCAAGTTGATGATCGCGGTGTGGGTTTTGGATTTGCAGAATGGATCAACTTTATGCTTTACATATACAGGGAATAGGGAACTGGGGTGCTAGAGACACCCCGGAATGCCATCAGGGCTAACCTCAGCTTCGACCTTTTGAATACAGTGAGCTTCCTTGCCTTTCCTACCCCATAGTTCTCTCACGTGGGGGATGAACAGAGCGAGGGGTTGGTGGGGAACTAGGCTTCTGGATTTTGGGGTCCATCATAGGTATTGGAGGAGTTGGGGCTCTATTGTGAAGCTCTACCATACTGATGATGTACCTTTATTTGATACTTTATAGGTCACTATCGTATGACAGAGTCTTTGCTGCAGTTCATCTTCCTCCCTGTGTACTTTCCATTTGCCTTCCCGGGTAAGTATGCAAAAACTCTTCATACAGGGAAGCTGCAAACTCTTCATGCAGGGAAGCTGGATGACTGTTAGTAATGACATAAGGGTCCTTATTTTTCACACAAGAATATGCTTCATTGGGATTACAATACAGTTTGATGAAGCAGAAGTCAATTTGTAATTTTTAGTATTTAAAAAATGCAGCTGCTTTTATGATTTTAACATAGTTTAAATGTACATTTCACACATACCTGTGAGTGTCATTTGAAAACTTATTTTCAGGTAAACATTTTAATTGGTAATAAAATTTTACACAGAGTTGAAGACCTAGGAAATTTAAAGGTAACTACTTCGGAAAGAGTGTAGCCTTTGAGTGGAAAGGATTATTACAAACCCAAGGGAGCATTGTGCAGAAGGCCTCTCTAGTTATAGTGACTGACGTTTGCTTACTCTTTCCTAGGTTCTCTTCTTTGGGTAACTTTTGTTGTTTGTAACACTTTACTTTTGACAGGAAGGATGGACTGGGCAGTGTAATAAATCTAGAAGTTAGTATTCCCAGATTGATTCAAAAGACAAGTAGCTGTCCAACTTATTCATGATTTCCTTTAAATTTTGTAAAGGAGAAAATAGATATATTTTAACAGCATGTATAAACAATAAACAGTGACATAGAGATCCTTTAAGTGCTTTCTCAGATATATGCCCCTCAATTAGTGAAGTAATCTGTAGGGTAGCAAGTGCCTGAAAAGTTTCTGAGGATTGTCTAGGTGAAATTATTGAGGATGTACACAACATTTGAAAGCAGCGTGGTGAGTCCACAACTGCAGAAGACCGATTGGAAAATTTGCCCCTCATCACAAGGAACACTTCAGGTACTTAAAATTGCTCACATGTTAAGAAAACCAGTTGTATTAAAATAAGCTGTGGCACTTTATAGTATTACCATAGTGAAGATACAGTTTATATTTTATGAATGAAAAGGGACGTGAACTCATTTTTCCATAAAAGAAAAAGAAAAGGGATCTTGTCTGTTTTCTTTCCTGGCTTGCTGGGACATTTTGTACAATAATTAAAAGATAGTCATGGCCCTCCCTGGTGGCGCAGCGAGTTAAAGCACTGCACTGAGAATCTAAAGCCGCTTCCGCATGAGTTCAATTCCCGCCTGCCCCGGAGGTGACCACATGGTGTGGCAGACCTCTCCTGACCCGCCCGCTGCTCCCCTCAGCAGTGTACTTCCTCGATTTGCCTGTTCTGTTCCCCGCTCTGTCTCTGGTGAGGCCTCTCACCGCCCCTGAGCCTCTGGCCTGTGTACCCCACTTCTGTATGTACAAATAAATAAATCTTTAAAAAAAAAAGATAGTCATAGTATTAAGAGGAATTGAGTTTAAGACTGGACCTCTCTGGTGGTTTCCACATGATAGTAAACTATTACAATATTGCTAACGATTTTAGAAAATATGTAAGTGGTGTGTCCAACATTATTCATGAAATATAACCAGCACATTATTTTAGATAGGTGGTTCACGAGCAGATCTGGTAATATGTAACATATATGTAGGCCGGTTACAGTGGTAAAAAGAGATGGTTAAAGAAGATGAATTTAGTGTTTACTAAATATATGTGAGTTTCATTGTCTTTGATTTTTTTAAACTTGTCTCTAAGAGAGTTTTCTCATTCTTAAACATATGGCAAGAGCATTTAAAATGCATTCCTGATTACTAAGAACACCACATTTATATATGTGAGGAACATTATTTTTTGTTCATTGGAGCAAACTTTTAATGTTAGTTTTTCCTCATGAAAATATATTTGACCAATTCAGACTTTAAGATGGGAATCAGTAATTTCTAGAATAAAAGTGACATGATGAACTCTTGCATTTCTTTGAGCTATCAAATAACTGCTTCATTAAAACAATATTTTTAAGAACACTCTTAGTCTTTGAAGTCAGTATAGTTTTTATGGTATAAGACTTGCAGCAGTGATCTAAAAAAGTTACCCTGACAATGAGATTACTAGTTATTTGCATCAAATATTTATTTCTTAGGCTTGGGACTCAAGTATCAAAATAAGAATTTAGATAAAGAAGGTGTGCTTCTGTATTGCCAAGTTTCTAAACTTCATTTTTTTTTTACTTTTCACGTCTCTATATAGCTCTGAAACCAGTGACATAATTTGCATTTTATATTTAATTCTAGTGGCTGGAAAGGGGGTTCATCTATGTTAGTGCTGCATCTTTAGAGGTACTCTGTCAGTTTTAGGAGGAGTCCTCCACTAAGATGTAGGTATTAACACTTTGTATCCAAATTAAAAAAAAACTGATTTAACTGTTTTACCTTTGTTTTTAAGAGACCTATAGTTCTGCTGTACAACTTGAAAAGTATATACCACCTCTGACCTTTATTGATCTGTGCTTTATACTAACCCACTGAAACAGAGAAGATTTGTTGAGACATTGACTTTAGAATACAACTTTGAGTGAAAGCTGGATGAAAATGTAATTGTGGTTTGCTTGTACTGTAGGTATGTTATTGATAAGATTTTTTGTACGTAGTTAAAGAAGGAACAACAGTTCTTAATGTGAAAATCTAACTTAGTAGGTAAGGTATTTATGAAGCCACTTTTCCAGTAAAATTGCAAACAATTTCTAATTATTAATCATCACCTAACATAAAGTTTACACTTTCCTTTACTTAATACAGAGTGTTGGTAAAAACAAGGGCCATATTTTTAACTAGATCTTACCATGAATATCAACTATTTTTATAATAGACATCTTTAATAGAAGTGATAAAGACTTCACAGCTCAATCTTATTAAAAAATTCTTTTAAAAAACTCATTACCGATACGACTTTTTGCTGTATTAAAGGAAATCTCTGACATCTCAGAGATTTGTCTTACAAAAATGCAGAAAATTACATAAAATTGTGGTATTTAAATGTTCTGAATTACTAAATTCAAACAATTAATTTTTATGTATTTCATCACCATTGCAGCATACTTTAATTTTTAGCTTTAAACTTAAGTGAGTACTGAACTTCTTGAACTTGAAATTTGAAGTCCACCCATTTTTAACATTTCCCCACTGGGGGCACCTTTTAAAACAGCTCTTAGTGGTTATGTTATATTTTTAGTCAGCTTCCTGCCTCTACTAGGAGATGAAAACAAACCCAAATTATAAAACATTGTAATTTCACAACTTCATTTATATTATGTATCCCAGGTAAATCAAATGCAGAAGGTCCTCACGCTATATACACTTTGAGAAACATTCTCCTGAAGGTACTAAGGACGGAACCTAAAGATTGAGTAGTAGTTCTCCAAACTAAAATATTCTGACTGTTCTTCACACAGTAGGTTTGTATTACCTCCAGGGCAGTTATCACATACTGTGTCAAATTTGCAGAGATTTCTACATTTTCAGTTATACTTTAGGAAAGCACTTTTTGTGGACAACTTCACTCAACATTCATGTGTTCATAGTACCCCTTAGAGGGCAATTACATTTCCTTGAAATGCCAAGATGTCATTTTAAAACTATAAAGATACACTCAGAAAATTCTCATGTATTAAAGGAATTTTAAATATTTTTAATACAAAAATAAAGTGAGAATTGAAAGCATACCAGTCACTCAGTAGAAATGCAAAAGAGGTCAGTAAAAAATTCAATCCGAAAGCATATAAATGGAGAGCATGAAAGACTAATGGAATGAAAGACTTAAAAAATCAAGTCTTGAAGCACTGACACACCTACCAAAATAAAAACTTACTAAGTTAAAGTATGTGAGTTAGTTTAAGAATCTAGATAGTGCCATGACTTCAGATAGTGAGGAGTTTGTATGAAATGCAAAGTAAAAATTAGTAAGAATGAGTTGGAGTATATGAAATATTAGAAAAAATATTGTGGTATATTAATTAATTAAGCGAGTAGTTAAACTAACCCTGGGTAAAATGTTAACAGTGAAATAGAAACTCCTGGGCTGGAATAATTGAGATCCTCAAAAGGAAATAGAACATTGAAATTTTTTTTTTTTGTAAAATAATTCAGGGGATACCTGAATTAAAGATTGATAACTTATTTCACAGGAAAAATAAAAATGAAGATAAAACTTATTTGAAGCAGTTGTGTTTCTGATATGTTTTTGATTGAGAAGTATAGTAAGAAATCCTTTTCATATTCCAATCTACATATAAAAACTGAAAGTTTCCTGGAACAGTGCTAAGAAAAATGCCCTCTGTTATTTTTTATTCTATGTAGTCTTAATAAATCTAATCTGTTTCAAACTACTTTATTAAAAATATACTGGGTATCATTCACTAAATTGATCTTATGACATAGAGTTTGAAAGATACCAAAAATGGAGGTTCCCAGACTCTATCCCCAGATATTTGACTCACTATGTTTGGGGTTATACCCAGGAATCTGCATTTTGATTAATACAGCAGGTGATTTCGAAGCAGGTAGGAGATCCTTTATACATGTTAAGAAATTCTGGTGTGAAGTATAGGTGACATTGAATGTGGAGGTTGACGGTTAAGGTCTCTTGTAGCTTCAAAATTCTATGGCTGTATTCAGTCAGTATGTTTGCAATACAGATGCCCTTACCATGATTTTTTTGTCTTTATGATGGGGTGAAAGCAATATTATTTGAAATTTTGATCTTTCCTGCACTAATAGTATGTAGGTTAGTGCTGCTGGACAGTGACAGTGAGACGTAGTTCCCAGTCAGCCCCTGGGTCATGATCACAAAGTTAAACAAAAGATGTTCTACAGTGCATTGTGTTGCCAGAGTTTTTTGGATATTGTGTTTGGGGTTTTTGCATTCCATTATGTTTCCTTTTTTTTTTAGTACAGTAGTCAGTAAATCACAAGTTGAATAATTTATTACACATTAGGCTTTGGGTGATTTGACTAGTTGTAGGGAAATAGAAGCGTTCTTATGTGTGAGATATGCTGGCTGAGTTACCATATTCAATAACCTATGTGTATTAAATCCATTTTTGTCATTGCCTGGATATAC